TTTATTCTGCATCTAACCATGTGTGCTTCGAACTAATTGGAGCAGGGGCCGATTCCATCAAATAATCGCCCCCGTCCTTTTCATCCAAATTATATGAACAACTTTTCATCATTATCTCTACGAAGTTATACTATTCCTCATACTGAAGGGAACACAAATGAATAGTGAGTGTATAATGATAAAATATTAAATAACTACAAACAAGAAGCAAATGTAGATAGTTGACTTCGGCGCACAGGTGTGACTAGGTATACGCTAATTATATATTAGTTATTTTTGACTGTTTTTTTAGGCATCCAGGAAAATTTGTTATAATGCGGTTATTAGGAATCCAGCTGTGAAATGTCTCGTTTCGTAGAGAAATGTTTGGTCTACCTGTTAGTACTAAATACAAAATTACAGGATAAATGAGAGAACTTTTTTTAATGAATTACTGAAAAGACACAAACAGTTGTATAACTGATGATCGGTTATCACGTATAGTTATAATATTCCAGATTGTTCATGTTTATGTCATGATTAAGTTTAAAGTATTTTTTCTTCTAACGACTACATAGAGCAAATATTTCTCTGCAAAATGAGACATTCCACAGCTGGGAACGATTCTTCGCATTATATCAATTTTTTTCTAGATGTCCTGATATGAGTTGTATGAATGCGTAGATGCCTAGATGTGACTAGAATTTGTGCGATTATGGTAAACTGCTCTGTTTCCATATTATATCTAAAACATCTTTTATTATTAAGCTGTTAATAATATATGATATTTTACTTTAGTCTTATAAAATTCAACTTGATAATTGTCAAGAAACCATAGCACAATTGAGAAAAACAATTGACGTTATGGAAAAACGTTTAGATCAGTTGTAAGTACGATCAAATCAACTGTTTATTAACATGTTTTAAGCAGGTCAGTTTTTATCAGTACTCGAAGTATCATAAAACAGAAAATGAATCCTAGTGGAATTCACGAGGAAATCTTGATAAAATCTAGAGAATTGAAATCTCAAGATTTTAGAATAATTTGAGTCATAATAGTGAGAAAAAATTAGTTTACTAGAAGAGACTATATGTGAACGAAGGTATGCTTGAGGACTTGAACTGTCAATTTCGAAATCATACGTTTTTGTTGTGCTCAACTGATGTATAAAGAAAAAATTAGAAAAAACAATTCAAGTTGTTTTTTATGCAGAACATCTTATCGATATTAATAGTATACTTTGTAGCAAAATTTAGTCATTGATTTTTTCAAAATTCTGATGAGTAAGATCTGTTCAAAGATTAACCTTTTAAGTCCTCAAGGCTTCAATGCTTGGTTTTGAGTCAACAGCTTATGAAAATGAAACATATGAGACCTCGATATGATCTTCTCACGCTGGAAAAACTTATTTTTCATTTTCAAAAAAAAGTTAAGTTTTTACAATTTAAATTTAAAACCAAAATTTGAAAAAACTTATTTTTTCCAAAATTCTCGTTAGAAACCAAACACCAACTATATCTAAGTTTAGACCATTAAGTTTGGGGAAGTTGAGACAGAAAATGAGCTCAGATGGTGAAGAAAATCAAGAATAACCTGATTGACTCAAAAAGACTTTAACGGTTTCGTTCAAAATATTAGTGAGAATTACTATAGAAACTTAATATGATTTTTCTATTTTGTTTTAGAATGCACGAGATCAAGTTACTAGTGATAGCAATAATCTCAATCATTTCATATGCAAATGTTCAGATAGGGTAAGCATGTCAATCAATGACTAGTTGATATATCAGCATGAACTGCTTTACAGCCCTGTGCGAATTTGTGAAACAGTTTGCAATATGAAACGTCAGAGATTTATAGAGTATTAGAAGTTCTTAAACATCTGTATTGTCAAAGATGGAACATAGAAAAGATTGTCTTTCCGAACCTGTAGTCAAAATTTTATCAGCTTTCTTTGTTTTCGAGGAAAGAAGTTTTTTTTTAAAAAATACTTTTTCTCTGATAAATTATAAGGTCATCCAGTTTTTTTCTTTCCAGAATGGATATCAATAGATTCAAATAGTTTTCAATAGCATCCGTGGCACTATCGCATTTAAAACAGCTCAAATTCTCGCGAAGTAGAGAAAAATCAAAATTTTCTCCTTTCTAGTATTAAAGAGTGGTGTTTGACCTGCAAAAATGAGAAACTACAGTTTTCTTCAGTTTAAGTCCTGTCCGTTAACTGACAGGAAGAAGTGACACTTATTACTAGGCTTGTTACTAGAAACAGTATCAGAAGGTTAGGAATCGTACCTCTGGTTCCGGCTTTCCCTTCAGTATGAGGAATAGTATAACTTCGTAGAGATAATGATGAAAAGTTGTTCATATAATTTGGATGAAAATTTATCCAATTTTTTTCATTTTATTCAAGTGACTCGTCTGACGTCATGGTGGTACGTAAAAAATTCGATCTGGAGATTGTAAATTGAACATTTTTTTTTCAAACACGAAGTCATAATAATGAAGCATAATTGTAGTCCGCAAATTTCTGATTAAAATGAGACATCTCCCAGCTCTACACGACCTTTCTTTACAAAGTTATAGAATTTACAAGAAAGCCATAAATTTATTTCTTCTTATTGTTCGTGAGCCGACAATGAACATTTAGGGCTTTTCTTGTAAATTCTATAATTTTGCAAAGAAAGGTCGTGTAGAGCTGGGAGATGTCTCATTTTAATCAGAAATTTGCGTGTTACAATTATGCCTCATTAAGAAATGTTTTTGTTATATTTTAGAGTTTTTAAAAAACTGGTTTTACGGAAAACCGGGACGTCAAGAGCCATGGGGAAAAATTATTTTAGGGTTTTTACTAGCTCGATACCCTTTATCGATCGACGTATGAATGAACGAAATCGGAAGGTATCACTTGGATAGGTTTCCTCGTAAGACAGATGCAGAAACGGATATAAATGAGTGCATGGTATTTAGAGAGATAACAAGTCTTTTATTTTACTTTTTCTCTTTCTGAATTTATTCCAATGGCAGTTTAGTCATGAATAGGAGAATCGAGCTAATATTATATGTAGATAACGAGTATCGAAGGTATCCAGAGATACACAATTACAAGTTAACTTACAGTTAGTTTCTTTTCCATAGATTCCACGCCTTATTACCAACACGGAAGGCTTGACCAACCGAACTACGGAAATAGCTCACATGGATTTGTGCCAGAAATAAGTCTGACTCAGACTTTCTACTAGATAATTCGGCAGAGAGGAGTAATCAGTATGGTTAATTATTTGATTATCATATTGGTTATTTTATAATTGTTACATTTAAATGAATAAAAAAATACTCTACTATATACGCTTAATTGACTACGCGTTTTATAATGTTTAAAAAAAATTCGACAGAAATTAACGCAAAAAATTTTAGCAAAAGATATATAAATTTGAGCTCCCTAATCGTGATATTTGATTAAGCGACAAGAAAAAATAATAACACATGTACACATAATTGTTGACTAGAAATACTCCATTTAAGATAAGAACTGCGAGAGAGTGATTTTTCTAAAATGATTTGTTCGTTTTCTTATTATTGTTTAGCTTCAACAAACTACTACCACTCATAAAGGCCATTGGTGTTGTTGTCGCTGTTGTTTTCATTTTTTTATGAGGTGATGGTGTTGTATCATTTTTGCTATTAAATTTCAATTGTGGGTCATAAATTTGACGTATCAAATCTATAGGAATCTCATTGAGAAATTTGGATCTTTGACAATTTTTCCATTCACCAAAATGCATACGTCTTCGTGAATGTGTCAAATGTAAAACACGTTTTGCTCGTGTTATGGCAACATACATCAAACGTCTGTCTTCTTCTTCATCCGTATCAGAAAATGATGACGGAAATAAACCTTCATCTAAAAAAATCCGGATAAAACCAACACTTTTCTAGTCTTTTAAGAAAAAAAGCGATCTAAATGTTCGTACGTACTCAACCCAACAATAAATACATAATGAAATTCCAATCCTTTTGAACCATGAACAGTCATTAGTTGAACAGCATCAATATGAGATGAATCAATTTTACCATCTTGTGGTGAATTATCCTGCAAAGAAACATAAATTATACGTAATGAAGATCTCGAGCTTTAGACTAGAACGATATTGTTCATACGAAAAAAGTTTCTCTACAGATAATCATTTCATATCATTTCCAATACTATCTATTTGTATATGACTACAGCGCATACGATCAGGGGAGGAAGGGATTTCCCACCCTTGAAATTTTTCTACTTTCTCCCTGGGTAAAAGATTTTCACTATGCGCGCGAAAAAAGACTTTCTCCCTAGAAATTCCCCTCCTGTAAAAAAACCAAACGAAACATATGTATGAGTAGGATGAGAATTCGATAGAGGCAAGTTTTTCACCATTATATATAACTTGACTCCTTTTTCTCTTTTTCTCTATTTGCTAACTTAAACAATGTTAGACACACTTACACGTGTTGTATGACTTAAAAAATCATTAAATTTTTTGTTTGATATAGATCACTAAATTGTCTCATGGCATTACACAATTCTTGAATATTATCAACACGTTCATTTTCATGTTTCTTTTTATAATGGTCAATTATTTGTGCTTGATTAAATACATAATTGGCTTGTTCATGTAATTTGGCATTTGATTTTGGTTTTCGATATATTTCTTCACCATTAACAACATCTAATTCAATTATACTCATTTTTATCTTCTTCAGGTGGATCAACTTTATCATGAGCCATTTGATGACATTTATGATGATTCAAATGAACGAGCTAAATTTTAAAAAAAATATAAAATATCAATAAAAAGCAAAACTATTCAAATAAATAACACATTTTACATTGAGCATTTGTTCGATATAATATAGCAATTTGTGAATAGGATATTGTTGAATTTTGTTGTTTAAATTCTCGAATTACATCGACAACATATTTTGCTTCACTAATATTATCCTCCATTTGACATAGAGATATACGTTCGCCATTTTTCATATCGGTCCACCATGATTTTCCTAAAATCAGAGATGAAAATAAAAATAAAAATCGACCAAAAAACTTATTTAACATTTTAAAACTTTCTGTTTCTTCTCTATCGTATCTATCATTATGGAATGTACTTCAAACAACATCGTTAAAACATGTTTCGACGATTATTTAAATATCGTTAAGGACATGTGTTCTCAAAAAAAAAACATGACAATAAAAGACGTTATAATAACTTTTACCTAATCGTGCTTTATTATTTGCTATAACAGCATTAGCAGCACGTAACACAATATCTGTACTACCTAAAAGACATATAAAAATAATAAGACATAATAAGATAATTAAGAATACATAAGATATTCTAAATAAGAGACTTCAATTGTCAATTATTCTAATTTGATACGTCAGACAAAGTCATAACTCACACGTACTCACGATAATTTTGCTCTAATTTAATAACATCTTTTGAATTATTTCGATCTAATTTCATTGTTTTCAAATAAGCTTCAACATTTTCCGCTGCTTTTGCTCCACGAAACGAATAAATGGATTGATCATCATCAGCAACAGCCATAAAACAATTTACTTTTTCATCATTATTTTTCGGTCTCAATAATAATTTTACCCAATCAAATTGAATTTTTGATGTATCTTGAAATTCATCAACCAAAATAAAATAAAATTTTTGTTGATAGACACGTCTTAAGTCAGGATATTGTTCCATTAACTCTAAGAAAAAAAAAATGATTATCTTAATTGTCTCTATCGAACAGTACAGTATCGCAAAACTATCAACCTTTCATTTTTAATAACAATTCACCAAAATCAACTTTATGTTCCAATTTACATTTATTTTCATATAAAAAATAAATTTTATGTTTGAATTTTTCTTGTAGATTGGTTATATCGCGTGTATTAATGGCTGATGCCCGTTTACCATCATCTTTACACCGATTAATATAACCGACAATTGATTTTGGTTTTTCATCATCCATTAGCTCATAATCATCTGTATTAGCACGTTTCTTATGTTGGACAACATGTTCTTCATGATCACTGGTTGCTTTTGAATGTTTTGCTGTTGAATCATGTTTTAATTCTTTTATTATTTGTTGTACTATACTTAGTTGATCACTTGGATCCAATATTAGAAAATCTTTTCGTAAACTAGCCATTTTATGATGAATACGAAGAAAACGATTAGCCAATCCATGAAATGTACCTAAAATCCATCACTTCCCTATATTTTCCTCTAATATCTAAGTTGTA